TCTCCAACCTCACGCGGAGAGGAAAATTTTGATGAAAAAAGAGCCGAGACGTGTGTCATTCCATTTTATGACTAAGGATGGAAAACTAAGGATTTTTATCAATTCAATATGAGTGATCACCAAGGGAGATATACGACGAGTTACCGTGGCAACGGGTCAAAAGGATTCACAAATATGCATAACGTCTGCATCTGTCTGCGATCGACAAAGGCACTGTCCTTGCCGATAGACCCATTGTCCAAGGCTTTTGTTCAAAAGTCAAGGTTGTGTGTTACTCATCTGGCGCTTATTGTTAATTTGTTGGGAAAAGACTAAAACGAGACATCCTTGTTCAGGATTGGGGCCGAGATGGCTGACGACTGAAACACGCATGGGAACAAAAATTGAAGACAATATAGACAAGTCAGTCACAAAGTAGAAAAATTAATGAGGAAAAACATGAGGTATCGACCGATTAATAATTTTTTGCTTTAAAATAGCGCGTCAGAGTCTTCTTTTTTTGCAGTTGAGATACTATGTATTGACATTTACTGAAAATCACTCAAAAACAAAAGGTCGACATCACTTCAGACAGATGATATCAATGTTGATTGCTTGTATGTCTCGTTTAATCAGAAAATACTATTTTCGCAAAACTGTTCAACTTGATTTCAAGGCAAATAAAAATAATAAACCCTATGGGACATCACGACTTTCAGTATCATTCATAATAAACGCTTTCTTTCTCCAGACTGCCAGACTTTACTTTGAAAAGAGAAAGGGATAAATCCCTTGGGATAATGATTATAAAATCGCATCCGCCTCATTTGAGTAGGTCGCAGGGGCACGTACATGTACATGCGAACAACAGTGCAGGTGAAACGAGTGTCAAAAATTTCGTGGTCGAGTGGACTTGGTGCTCGGTACAACGCACACGCTGAATTCATCAGAGGTGGTATTGACGAGAAGATGATGCAGACAAGAAGATGAAATTGTCGCTTGAACGGGAACCAGGAAGGAGAGGATGACCCGGCTGGTTGGAGGAAGAAGTGGCTAGGGATGGTTGGACAGCTCATTATTTCGCTTTAAACACGTACAGGCGTAGGCTTTTACTTCTTTGTATCAGCTATAATGGAAACGAAGAATAACAAAAATTTCTCACTTAACCCCCAACCAAAAATTTCAACAAAACTTGGATTTTTCAATCTCCTGTTTGGGTAGGGTTGTTACAGTGGATGAACTGTACTGATTCATGTAATAACTGAATGTACAGCCACTAACACCAAAACGCCCTGCTCAACTAATGCGTCTGGTAACAGAGAACAGTATGAAATGCACTACTGAAAACAACGTGGCGATAATCGTTGGTCAAATCGTGGCGGGAACTACACACAAAAAAAGCGCGCCAACGCGTTTACTAATTGTGAATCACTTGTAATACAAATTGACTGTCACTTGCTCGTTGGACGCTTGGTTTATGTGTGTTTGACTGGGCGCTGAACGCACGCAGAGGTAAAATTGCCTGCCAAAATGATTCCCGGCCCAAACAACACTACTCAGTGCTAAACTTAACGTATGAACAAGTGCACACAACAGATGCAACAAATCGGGTCTGCTGCATGGTCTTTGAGTACACATACATGACCCGTAAAACAAAATTGAACAAGTAAAAATTTGAGGTTTGGAATAACAAATCGAGGATTTCCTTATCGACCTCAGCGTTCAGCAGAACTGGGTTTCTTTGTCAGTACAAGGTGATATCAATGGAGTGATTCCACGACTGCACTTGTTCTTTTATCATTAAAAAGCAAGTTGTATCTATCCTCAAATGAAGACAAGGAGATGCAAGCGATCGGGGAGGTAAAGTTAAGCCTGGTTTTATTTTAGTGTCAGAGTTTTGGCTTCGTGATCTGCGAAATGCCAAAGAAGCCAGCAACAAGAAATACAGCAAAAATGTCTATTAAGATTTGGTGTCGATCAAGTCTTAACTTGAGACATATTAACCTAGTATATACAACGATCATTGTAATTAAGTCCTTAGTCATTCCCATGCAGCCATGCCGATAGTTACATCTCGTCAATTACACCTAATGTTTCTCTGCACGAGTAATATTCAAATGCTTCAATTGCCAGAAGATGAAGGAATGTCCCTGGGTAACGAATCTTCATCCCCACCCATATACGTGCACCGGGCTTCCGTTGGTAAGGACAAGAAAAGAACTCAGGTCTTCCTGTCCCCCGATATGATCACGAGCGTTTGTATCCACAAACGTGAGGCAATCTTTCCCCGTGCGATTTGGAGAGAGAGGTGTCTGGCCACCAAGTGATTATTGCAGACGTGAAGAGCTTTTCTGGAGCATGACACTTTATTCCGATGTTAAAACCGCGACGTCTTTTTCCCCTTTCGGAAAGGGAAAGTTTATAGCCTGCGAGAGTGACGCGGCGCCAGCATGTCTCATGTATAAATGCATCTGCCTATTCAACACCTGCCGATGTGGGGAGATCTGGGGATCCCCACTCCTTCATGCTATCTCAGGGAGATTGCAAAGGGATGGGAGCTACCTGGCTTCCGGGGACTGAAGGAGCACCTGTATTATCGAAACCCCTGCGGGCGCGTCTAAAAATTATCAATGAAGGGGGGGGGGGTTCCCCGAGTTTCTTGCATCGGCACGCCGCATGCAGTTGTACAGAAAGTACAATGCGGAACGAGCGTTCTCTCAGATAGAATGTGGCCGGGGTGTCTTGTTGCGTCTTTCTATCAGAAGAACCCTGTAAACTCTCAGAGTAAACCCCTCGGGTTATGGCACAGGATGTGCTAAATACCCCCCAATGCCTGCAAAAGTGATTGATTAAAGAAAAGGGGAGCCATGAATGAATTAAAGATAAGAAGACCAACTGGAGACATTTCATGCCCGTGAGTAAACGAGCGCGTTAAACGATGCTTCAATATTAGATGTAAACTCTATACGCCTTACTACGTGGGAATGTAGCAAGTACATGTACATTGGCGCGTTGTGTGCGCACTGCCGCCGCGTTGCTGAAATTTGCCCGCTTAGAACGTGGGTTTGGGGTTATCGAAAGATACAGCCCTGGACACGATCGCGACATCGGGGGATTGCTTGACGAGCCATAGGTACACATTGACCAGACTGGGTACACAAAGAACGACCGGTGTCCCAATTCCCGAGCAAAAAAGATCAACGGCTTCCAGTTCCAATTTTTAAGTTGCGTAAGCTAAAGCCAACAAAATACACACCAATTTATAGAAGTACATGAACTTTAAAATCTTAAACAGGCAGAGGATATTAGTGCGTCTGTAGCATAATTATGTAGAAAAACTCGTAAAGACCCCCACGTCATTTCGCATAATTATGTTTTGAAGATGTGGAAAGGGGGGGCGTCAGGTCAACTTTAATCACATCAATAATTCACTTCACCATATAATATCTAATTAGAAAATTCGAAGAAATGGGAAGCATAACGAGACATTCAAATGAATACTTAAATTGCAAAAGCTGCACAATGGTACAAAACTTGTGGCTGTCTAAGAGTGTACGTGCCACGAGTCCTCATAGACGGATCGTAAATTCTAATAAACGAAGGAGCTAAGTCCGGCATATCCAATCTTGTTTAATCTGATCGTTCATGAAAACCTTAAGTACCAAATGGAACATCGATTTAAGACAATAATAGACGCGCCAGTTTCACTTTATCGTCGCTCTAGTAGCCACTGAAGACAGAATTCTGCCAGCGGACGAACTGCTCAAATATCTGGCACCTGCACGATATGAAAGATGTTACATATTTTCAGAGCGGTTTCCGATTATTAAGGGCAACCACGCAGTCTGGCATCCGCGATTATGGTTATTTAATAGACACTGGTTCAACCGGTTAGGTCTTCAATCAATTTTAAAACACAAGAAGTAATGCTACAGTCTGGCGTCCAGACGCCAAAGTAATGATTACTTAGTAGGATGTTACACACTTGAGGCGGGACTTTTAGAAGCATCCGTCTCGCAGGGTATTTGAATACCGTAGATGACTAAGAGGCCAGTATAAACCACACACAAGTTCTAGTTAATCACCCTGAATTTTTCCGTGTAAAGACCGTGTTTCACCGTCATGTCCGGAATTGATAGGCATTTCAAACATGGGGCCCGAGACATTAACGCTTGGCATGGATTTTGTATGTAAGGTCCATGAAATTCAGAATCATTTTTCGTCGTTCATGCTGTTAATTTCGCGAACGAATTAAAAAGTCTCGACTTAGAGACAAGCCAATTTCGGCAATAGTTACTTGACGAAAGTGAAAGGTTATTTACCATTTACATCCTTACATCATGGAGGAATAAAACACACGCCTTCATTTCATTGGTAAATTCCCGATGATTGGTTGTCAGTTTGTTTTCTTTTCCTTCACATCTGACACTCAGTGCCTTCCCGCTGCCTGACATTCCGATATACCTGGGTCGACCTGATGATTAACCAGAGCCGACAACGCCGACGTAGTCTCACCTGCTAGTCCGGCGCAGCACTTAGATTTCAATCTGGGGTGTACATTATATTCGACAAGAACCAGTCGTGGTGTCTGGACTATAGTTATACGAGAATGTAATTGTAATCCATTTGGTTTAGTTATAGAGCTGTACACTTGAGAACACATAAGTTTATAAATACCTCACAAGACTTTAACGACTGCAACCTTAAAGTACCCAAACTTTCTATTGCCTTAGAAAGAAAAATAAATTCCACATTCCTGGAATTTCAAAGCTATTTAACCTCGACCAAGTGGGGCAAAAGGGGTCGTAAAAACTTAGAAATTACAAGCACAAATAAATATTTCACATCGGACTCTGGGTGATTCTGGTTTCATATTCTGGTTTGTAATTACAAGCGGGAGTATAAATAATGCAGCGTTCTGCTGGACGCCAAAATATCCTATGGCTATGTGATGTCTAGGGTAAAAATAGAAAGCCACAACACAGAAAAGAAAATCTAAGGACGAGATATGATAAGCAAAATCTGCTTGGGATTAATTTAATCTTTGGAAACAATCCATGCTGAACGTTCACAAACTCACGGTGACACTTTGTTATTATATATATACAGATGAAGTTGATTAAAATCATAATAGCTGTGTTCATAAGATTCACCTCTCCTTAGGAGAGAAGTGCACTCATGTCATTACTACCACGATCACTTGTCTCCAAAATCATCACCACCACCACCATCATATCATCATCATCATCATCGTCACAATAGTTTCAACTGAAATTACTTGACTTACTCTCAGAGTTCAATTACGGCAATTCTTATTTGTTGGAATTTACGACTCCTTAACGATAAGTGAATGTGTTAGACAAACTTCTTGCAGTTCAATGTAATGAGATCAGTGTCTATAACTATAAATACCTTTCTGAACTTAGGAGACTTAAAAACTACCACTTAGGTCAGAGTTAATGAAATAAATTTCGGAAATGACACAAACCCTGAAGTATTTGATGAAATCATCCTTATCTGTTACCAATTAAACAGGGTTTTAATTATCCACAACGAAAGTAAAACTTTTACATGGTGGGCACACTACACTGCAAGTGTGAGTATATAAGTTATCCAAATGCATTTTGGAACTTGAGTATGCTATTGTAAAAAATAAAACCAAATCATGCATTCACAATTAAAGAAATTGATTAACTGTGAAAGCCCTCGAGTGTAAAAGACCACATGCCTGAGGAAAACAGTTCATAGATAATACTGAAATAAAACTATATCATCTTGTGCTAGCTCCCAACAACAGGAATAATTTACAAAACGAGGTTATAACTTATATTACATTATTCACTTTGACAGACTAAGAAAATGGGGTATTACAGATGACAAATGCTGAAAGCCTAGGATACAATGGTGTGTTCACCACTGAAGTGAGAAAAAGAAGGCAAAAACTGAAGAAGAAAGTAATTAATTACGTCGTATTTGGTGAGGACATGGCTGGCCTTCAAAGAGAGGAAAGAAGGTTCAATAATCTCTATTCCTAGATAATGAAATGTTGCATCCCCCTTTTAAAACTCTTATCGTTAATTAATCAGCTGTGTTCATTAATTCACTTAACCCTCCCCTAAATTTCCCTTTCCCTTGAGACAAAACAAAGGACAGAATTTTTTTACATCACCCTACAAGGCAAGGAGAGATAACAAGCAATTTTCTGCAGTAACCTCAAAACAGGTGTGCCATCTGTACGGGTCTAATTATCCATATAAGAAAAAGAAATGGACAAAAACCTGATGGATGATTAACGCTTAACCCACTTGATTTTATCACTGCCTGTTGTATCTGACTTGCTTGCTTGAGGCTTTCATAATTTTTTTAATCTGAATGATGATAAAAAAATCTGATATTTTTCACTGATGATGAGGAACTCATAACTTTAACAGCACACACAATCTGAAATAAATGCTGGCAATATTCAGCATGTATTTTTTTATTAAAAATATGTAAAATGACAGTGAGTCAAGTTTGTTAAATTTTTTTTCCCCAACTCATTGACACTGCAAGTGACCGGTTTACTATGGCTGCAAGTATTATCCATTTTATTTTTTCCTGCTGATTTCTGTGTCTGATTGTCACTGTCTCTGCCGCCGACACGGCGCTTTTCATATTGAATGGAAATTGTAGCTGAAAAGGCAATTTCAGGCATGAGTCATGTGTAATTGCGTTACAACACGAGCTTTAAGATCCTGGAAGCTCAGGTGGTTTAGCTTACTGTATCAGATCGTGAAATATTACACGAATTTCTGCTCCTTTGGAGATTGGAGGATCACAGTGGCCTGTTTTTCTTGTGTTTTGGGCGAGGATTACTGAGTATCTGGATAGTTGGGACTACTGACCGATCCAATTCAATTACAGATTAGGTATCTCTAGGGCTAGATTGACATTTTGGGTCAAAAGAGAACATTTATTGGGGAAGAAAGTAATTGGTAATAATGCCACTTGTCAGTTGTGTGTAATGACACTTGACTTTCATTTAGACTTTACTTAAAAATTCCATAATTGAATGACTTATGAAGTTGGAAACAATTGGCTGGTATCCAATTCCTCATTGACACCACTTCAGAATAAAATGCCCTTTTCACAATAAAAAGAAAATATCAAGTGAGTTAAAATCCATAAAACCGACAGGAGTATTCCTTTTTGCTGGCTAATTGCCAACTTATAGTAAATTCCGTAAAGCATTCGGGTAATGATCAAGAAACAAAATGTGAACATCATGTCAGACGTCTCTTTAATGAGGAGTTGCTATGCTACCATTACAACATAATGATAAAGGATGTCTCATGCTGTATAACTGACCAGAGACTGCAGAAGAACTATAAAACATGTCTTTGGACTTAAAAAAGAGTTCTTAAGATGCTGATGGCTACCTGCTCCTTCTCAGATTCTTTTTGAATTTCTTAAAGAAGATATTTATGTAGGCTAAAAACTCACGTCTCTAACTGAATAAGTTTGCCAAAAAATTTGAAGTTCTCGTCCGACAACAGCTTGCCCCAAAAAGTTTGTCCAAAAAGGAGCTTTTGGTGCCAACAAGCCAAAGGACAGTTTTCAGATATATCTGCATAACACCGATGAGTCATTTTCCACCTGTCTTTTTCATTCTCACAAAAAGGTGCTGCACTCACTAATGAGCAGAATGCTAAAAAACAGAAGCCTGCTGTCATCCTACGCATTGTCTCTTCTTTTTTTCACAACCATGTATTATTCACCAAGGCCATTTTTTTAATCACGATGACTCCCGTTGACGTGTTACTGGTTCTCTGAGTTCCCCGGTCCCCCAGGTGAATATCACAATTCCCCTCAGCTGAATAATTTAGCTCAGTTGTGCACCGCTGGTACTCATGTTAATTGCTGTGATGAAATTAGCTCTTGAGGTGTCAGGCACTTTCTGGACAGAAGATTAGGCTAGCACAAGCTGTTGGATAAAATAAAAAAAAGTGATAGTTGTCTGTCGCCTTGTCTGGCGGAGTAAATTGGTACTAATTAGCAATCCGAGACAAACATATTACATTACGAGAGGGATTCATTTCAGGAAAAAAGGAGGCTATGAACTAGAAGGCGGTTAGGGGTGTGGTTGGGGGGATAATGCGAAGATTACGCTAATGTTGATTTTCCCTCAGTTTCAAGTAAGTGTGATATTAGATGGTGATGACACAGTGTGTTGGCTGAAAATTGTCAGTTTTAAGAGTGGTTTGTTTTTTTGTTATCCATCAAATGATTGACACACAGACAGGAAGTTTCATCGCCAGGTTATCTGATATTCTGGAACATTACTCTAAGTCAAGAGTTATACAAGATAAGCCCAATAACCCCCTCCCCAAAAAGTGTTAGGGTTCAGTCAATTTGAATACATGTAATTGACTATTTGAATATTCGACCTTCAATTTGATTGAATATTTGAATATTCGGTTGTACTGACAGGCAGATTATTGATGAACAAACCATGTACAAAATCAGTTGCAATAACACACACAATTGTACATTATGATCACTATAATAGCTTCTCACATCTAGGAGTATCTCCAGCCATGATTTAGCAAGATTTAACCCTAACACTCCTCAGTCCTCCAACAGGTGAAGGATTGAGGAGGGTTAGGGTTAAGAGATGAACAAGACTTCTTGCCCTGTTGAAAATTTCTATTCCTTTTAAGTTTTTAATGAATAATTTAATTTTTGAATCGTTGTAAGATATATTAAGTTGTCACTTTTCATTTGAATCTGCATTAAACAAACCTCCATGGTTCAATTTTTCTCATTCAAAACAAAAGAAAATTCTCCCTTTTCATGAATTTTGCATTTGAATATTCAAATTTGGAAAATAATATTCAAACATTCGATAATCAATCGAATACATGTATTTGGCACAGCACTAAAAAGTGTGACATTGGGTTTCGAGTGTAACTGAAATGACTTCTTATAAATCCTACTGCAAGAAAACCATAAAGTTATCATTGAGATACTGAAAAGTTTACAACCTCTCCATAAAACTATTGACACTTTGAGCAGAAAAACAAAATAATCAAGATACTACAAGAAACCAAACTGAAGGACACTCTGGTAAGAGAGTGATTTCATGAAAAAATGGATGACAAGATGTCTTCTTTAAACACAATCTCACATCTATTCTATTAAGTTTTTGAAGACATCACAAAAACTTTTCAGCTTCTCAAAACCTGTTGTGGTCAAAATAAATCACAAGCATGATTGAAAGTTATAATTTATCTTATGACTCTTATCAGCCCCAAACTTTTGAAATCTGTCACACTAACAGCTGAGGTATGAGTAGGCGAGTACGACCATAATGTATCTTATAAAGAAAACAGGAGGATTATTAACACATGTAATGAAACATAGATAGAAAGTATCAAAAATGAGAGGGGCTACCAGTATCAGATGCTGTTGCCATGGAAACTCATAAAGTCAAGGTTATATGACAAGCCTTTCTGCCATACTAGAGATGAGGCATATGGTAAATGACCAAAAAGGGGGAAATTGTTAACGATGAGTCATGCTTGCTTCTCCTTTGGAGGGAATATGGACACTATACTGTCAGCTATTATAACCAAGGTCAGTGTATAGATTGTCACTGGTAACAATCATGATTTCGAGAGGGAGATGTTGATGATGACAAACCTATCAATGTCTGTATGCTGAGAAAGTTGAAGTCCTATGACTTCAATGTAATTTTAAGCAATGAATTTTTTCCAAGTCGTCACATTTGTCAAATTTTGCTGATTTTTCTAGAATAAGAAATGTAAAGTTTATCCAGGATGAGTGAGTTACATCTCATATATTTACTTGAGAAAAATTCCTACTTAAAATGATTTTTTTGTACACTCTTTCCAAAATGGAATTGTGCAGTAATGGCACTCTCTGATTTTGAAAGGCTAGGTATCTGAAATAGTTATCCAATCATTCATTTTGGCACTGAATAAAACAACAAGTCCGAAAAAATACTTTACAAAAGTAACTTCAAATACTTTTGATTTAAGCTGAGACCATGTATTTCCAAAAGTCCAAATCAACTGCATAATTTTTTTTAACAAAAAATGAGCGCTGAATAATTTGATTTCATTTCTGTTATTCTGAATACATTATGCTTGCATAAGAAAGGGTTGTCTTGGATTTTTTTCTTATTTTTCATTTGAGATCATTATTCATGGCATTACTGTTCTGACTCATTCCTGGGTCAGTAGTTAATTGATGCTTTCAACACATATCAACTTGTCTGTAAATTGTCACAACTCAAGCTCTACCGAAAAACATGTCACAAGCCATTCTCTTTGCAATAATTTGCAATTTTTCACCCGCCTAGAACAACTGGGTGGGTGGGGGGGGTCTTTCATTGTGAAAGAAACGATCCGTGAAGTCACGGTGATGAATCCTTCACATCAATGGTCCCTTATCTCGGCAGGCGGTTGGCCGGTCGGTTAGGGCCAGTCAGTGGCAAATCAACTGAATGGAAAAGGATGGAGCTCAGGAGACAAAGAGACCATGGAACTAAGAAAAAAACAAAAGGAGAGGCGGGCATCATCTGTGCTTCCTGTCATTTTGGAAGTCAGCATTGTTCAGTCAAGCACTCAATCAAGTTAAACCGTCTGGATGAATCCACAGCATTGGTGGACAAATTGGAAGCACAGGCAGATGCCATTCTGTACAGCCAGGGCTCTGATCAATCTTACTATGCTAAGGATGAACCATTCATAAAAAATGCCCACTGATTGAACAGCCGCCAGTCTAGAACCCCAGTTAGTAGGGCGGCGTGTGTTTCATATGAATACCTCCAGGTGCTGTGTGATATATACTTTCTCCGATTGAATGTAAACACTGATAAACATTGATAAAATTTATGACACCGTGGTAGGGCTTTGCCAGAGGGTGTTCAAAGTAATGCTACTGACAGATTCCTTCCACAGTTTACATTCCAAAACTGATAACTCAGTTCCAGAAAATCAAGTATGCTTCACAAGCTCTCAGCTTGCAGTTACTCAGAAACGTTACCATCGTATTAAGTTGAAGGATCTTAATATCAAACCCGTAAATATAAATATTTATCGGTAGCTTGACAATAGCCTCTGCTACAACTCAAAACTGTGATTCAACAAATAATCACAGGTAAAAGAGTTACTTGAAGAGAAACAATAAAACCAATTAATTGATATGACATCAATGCAGTAATACTCAGCAGTCACTAGCTGACCCAGAAGCCTTGTTTGTAGTATTGTCTATTCCATTTCCCCCTTCTCTGAAGTCAGGCAACCCTGCCATTGTTACTAATATATTCTTCTCCAATCCATCACGTTTCTCGGAGATCAAAGGCGCCGCTAGCCTTGAGAATCGTACCGCCGTCTCCATAATATGCACACACCAGCCTGACGCATGTTGCCGCTACCACCACTGAATGCTATTGGTCCGTGTGATTGCTATGGATTTTTTCATAAACAACCCTTTTGGGATAGAATTGTGTCTTTCCCAAAAAGATGGCTGAGAAATCAATTCTAATGACTGAATCGACCTCGAAATGGGCACATAAAAATATCAAAAAAGGGAAGAACAACAAAAAATAAAACTGAAAATAGAAAGTATCAGTCCGATCCAAAGGACAACTACTGTTATACAACAATCAAAGATTTCCAAACACATGCAATTAATCACTTCCTTTTAAGGATATCCAGTCCAAAAAAGTTCCCTACATGTGCTCTCCCTTTTCAAGTATTCTATTGTGAAGGAAACATGAAGTCCTACAAATAAAGTATTGTAACAAAGGATTTACTATCTCAAACTAAATCAGCATATATGGCATGGTGATTCATGTTTCACAAACGCAATATCGCAAACTGCCAGTAAAACCTTTCATTTTGGTGAGGGAACCTTGCTTAACTGTTACTTTGCACCTACATGTATCTGGGATTGCAGGCAATACAGTGGAACTAATGATGCAGCACCAGACCATTCTTGATACTGCGCAGTGGAACAAACTTAAACTATCAGAACTTTTTGGCCAACTGGATTTCTGTTATTCTGAGGTAGATAGCTTCCCATACAAATTCTTCCGGCTTTAACAAGAAGTTTCAATCCTACATCAATCCTTTCATTACCTCAACTTACTTTGAATTCATTCAGGAAATTTCTAGAGCTCAAATTTTCTCCACAGTTATTTCTTTCATTTATTCATCCATGCTGGGAATGATCTTCTCAATTTTTTTTTAACTGCCTGTATCCATAACTGGTTGCACAGACAGTAGATAAGATAAGACAGCACAGAGGACAGTAGAGCCTCAAATCTAAATTGGATGATCAATAATTTGACAAATCAAGGTAAACATTCCTCGCTTCAATCGCTTGATGCAAACCAACAGGGGGTATTTCCAATTTAGTGTCCCCCAAGTCTAGAGTAATTAACCCACAAACAGAGCCAGTCCCCTAAGGCCTTGTAAATTTGTCTAAGATGACCCCCAGTAATAATAACGCTTTTGCTTCCCATCTTTGCTAGTTGTTACCATATCCCTCCTTCCTTCATGCATATCCCCAGCAGTGATGGGAGGTGGAGTGTGAATCAGTCGATGGCAACCATCTTGGGCAGTTCTCCTTCCCTCAAGGGATGATGGCTTTCCCCCCAATCTTGTCATCTCCACCTACCATCACATTTCTCATCCCAGTATCAGTTTCCATTCTTACGTTTTGATGTCTTTCTGATCTTTTTTTTCCTGACTCTTCTAGTGCAGCCCTATTCATTTCCTTGCCTCCCTGTCCCCCAGTTTCTCTTCATGTACCCCAATTTTCTGCTAAATTAGCTTTGAAAATGTCTGGATGGATCAATCAAGTGATTTGATTAATGATGCCATGGCAGTTTTGAACACAAGATCCCAGCCCAAGTGTAAGTGTTCAAAGAAAATCTTTAGGAAAGGAAATCGT